CGAGAATTGGCATCTGACACTGACGGAAGTCTCAGGACGAAATTCGTGTTCACATCGCAGAGCTTGAGAGAGAACGGCAGCGAGCTCTACCGCAGTCGGTACGGTGGTATTTATTAAAAGACACGCAACTAACAAGAATTTATGGAAATAACACAGTTGTAAAATGCTGCTTAAAACAAGAAGAAGCTGTTTGTAAATAAGGTCATATAAAATAATGTAAATGTCACGAGTCCTTTATTTCATGTTCGTCTTGATTTTAGGCTCTATTTTCCCGGCACAGTTTTGACTCCTTTACTTTGTTCCGTCTCAGGTGTGAAGAACGCCGATGAGGGCGAGTTGAGGTCGATCGCCTCGGACCCCGACGACATCCACATGTACAACGTGAACGACTTCAAGTTCCTGGTGGACATCGTGGACGAGCTCACCATCAACCTGTGTAACAGCGTCAAGGGTCCAGGTAGGAAGACGGCAGGAGTACACACATCCTTTACTCAAGTAGAAGTACACACATCCTTTACTCAAGTAGAAGTACACACATCCTTTACTCAAGTAGAAGTACACACATCCTTTACTCAAGTAGAAGTACACACATCCTTTACTCAAGTAGAAGTACACACATAATTTACTCAAGTAGAAGTACACACATCCTTTACTCAAGTAGAAGTACACACATCCTTTACTCAAGTAGAAGTACACACATCCTTTACTCAAGTAGAAGTACACACATCCTTTACTCAAGTAGAAGTACACACATCCTTTACTCAAGTAGAAGTACACACATCCTTTACTCAAGTAGAAGTACAGATACTCATGTTTAAAAACACTGTTAGATTTAGATATCATGATCTTAAAAGGGAATGTTCTGACAGTAAAGCATCTTGGCTGCGTTATTGAGGCTATAACATTACAAAACACACTTTTATTTACGATTAAACATAAATCTGTGAATTTAATCCAGATATTATTGGATGACTTTCAAATCTTAGAACATATTAAAAATGTCTGTAGATTTGGATTATATTTTAAACTATTTCCTTTGTCAACATGTTTCCTTTTACCTGGAGGCACACCATACATTAAATAAATGCAGAATTTGGCCTTTTAATGAATGAAAAATGTACTCTCTTTGAATTTTGAAGACATCTCTATGGACTTCATTATTTAAAGGGGACCTATCATGCAAAATGCACTTTTTTAATGTCTTTTATACATCAATATGTGTCCCCGGTGCGTCGGGGAACTCACGCAGCGTCAGAAAATAAAACCCTTTCTCTTTACCTCCGTACCCAAATCTTTTAAAAACGGGGGAACAACGAGTGGATACAGATTTAATGCCGATATGACGTCAAATCGGCAGCAAATCTGCGGCGGACCCACAGAAAATCGCTATCAGAAACAATGCCTGACGTGTTTTGGACGTAATCTCGACTTTGTTTACATTAGCAAGCCTCGCTAACACTCAGAGCTAACCTGTACTGGAGAGCACATGTCTTTTTAAAAAGCAGGAAATAAAAAAAGAACTCACCTTGTGATAAACCTGAGAGAGAAAAAGCATTTGAGCTCCAGACTGTTTCAGAGAGAATCCTTGATGTGGTTTAGAACAGGATGGCGTTTTATCACAGTAGAATTTAACTTTATCTCCGGTAGAATTCTGATCAGGCATTAGCTCCGCCTCCTCTTTTTTTTTATTTTTAAAGCTAAGGACCCAAAATCTGCGTTTCTCTAACAGGGCTGAAAAAGAGGAGTATGAACAGTATGAGGCATGGCTACAATGGGTGATCTGTTTGGTATTTTAAGCAAAACACTTCACAGACATGTTTTGTATAGGTATGGCCCTACAATANTGGATAGATAGATAGAAGTTTGGAGGTTAAACTTTTTATTTGTATTTCACACAGGGATGGCGCTGAACTACATCCTGCAGAATAACTTCCAAGCACTGGTTTGGAAGTTATTCTGCAGGATGTAGTTCAGCGCCATCCCTGTGTGAAATACAAATAAAAAGTTTAACCTCCAAACTTCTATCTATCTATCCATCTATCTATCTATCTATCTATCCATCTCTCCATCTATCTATCCATCTATCTATCTATCTATCCATCTCTCCATCTACAGTATCTATCCATCCATCCATCTATCTATCTATCCATCTATCTATTTATCCATCTATCTATCCGTCTATCTATCCATCTATCTATCTATCCATCTCTCCATCTATCTATCCATCTATCTATCTATCCATCTCTCCATCTACAGTATCTATCCATCCATCCATCTATCTATCTATCCATCTATCTATTTATCTATCTATCTATCCATCTCTCCATCTATCTATCCATCTATCTATCTATCCATCTCTCCATCTATCTATCTATCTATCTATCTAAATAAAATCAGCTTTTCGAGTACATCTTATCTTAATTTTCTCAGAGCAACAATATTTGTACATGTTCAAGTACAGAACATCTAACTAGTAATGTAGACTACAAAAAAAGTTCCCATACATTTTTGGGGTAAAACTCATATTTCTCTCACATAAAATCAACTTTTTGAGGGGTAAAAGCATCAGTCCTCTTCAGCTAATAAGTACATTCTGTAGGATTAGGCCGGGTTGGGGTCTCGATTTGTTGTTAAACGTACCTGTCAGG